TAACTTCCAGTTTAGCCCTCTGCTAACTTGAAGTGCGATCAGATAATCCAATTATTGGACCAAATGGATTGAATTCTGACAGTGAAACGTGTCATTTTGTGGCGTTGTGACAGTCAAAAAAAATGTATCCACTGTTTTATAGTCGCTTCTTTCACAATGTAAGCTTGTGGGGAAATGTCTTTCAGGGCCACAGTGTATCACATGACTGATGCCATTGCTGTAATTACATGATTTGGCCACTATGTCAAATTAGCTTCAAAGGCCTGTGCACTTCCTGGGGGCTTGGTACAGTGGTGCTTTGAGTTAAATGCTAACATCAGCATGCTGATGTCAAGCAGATGTTATGTTTACAACTTAGGCTGATGGGAATTAGTTTTGCAGGCATTTTGTCAGAGTATTAAGCTTTGGCATGATGACGGTGCTAGAGGAAAAGTCAGGGGATCATCAGAGTTATTACAGTTGAGGACACAAATGCGTGTACCAATTTCATGGCAATGCATCCAATAGTTGTTGAGGAGTAATGAAGATTAAGAGACCAACACTGACATGCCTAAATATTAAATATTACCTTTTTCCAGATGTGTTCACCGCCCAATAATTAATAAGAAACTGAAACCCTTGAAAAGTTGATTATTTAACTCCACTGTGATTGGATAATATAAAATATAGATAGTATCAGCTGGTATCAGTCGGGTCACAATGCACGTGTATGCTTTATATGTCTAGTTAGATATTATTAAAAGAGAAACGAAATACGGAACATGTGGTAGTTAAAGTTGAGCAAGGACAAAAGGAGGCTTAGTGTCTGAGTGTTCATAGCAAAATAACACATTGGTACAAGAGTTTTTGGCAGGAAACAAAAGTTCTTTTACAATAGCACATTTGAAGAAGACTACAAAGAGAACCCAGTCTGAGGCTAACCCCCACTCTCCACTATAAATACCCTGTGACTGTCAAGGTGCCATCCCAGGAGCTGTAGCTTTATAAGGCAAAGACAGCCCCATAGTGCTCTCAAGTGATCAGGCAACACTGGGAGATAACAAGACTCCCAACAAGCTTATCTCTCCACTCAACAAGATTGAGTCATTCGTGTTATCTCTTCCAGCACTGAAGGCTTTGGTGATCGTAAGCAGCACTGCACTCACGTGTCGAGTTCAGCTCACTTCAACTGACTACACGACTGTACACCTGAGGGCAAGAAATCTGTGTTGATTGGGTTAATTTGAATTTTACACTTAAGGCTGATACCCGTGATGCTATAGTAAAAATAACAAGAATCTGCTGATTATGTTTTCAATGAATTGCTTAGTCTAGGACATGTCAAAACACAGAGATCACAACTTCTTAGGGCCCAAGGCAATGTCTTCAGATTACTTGTTTTCCAAAACCCAAAGAGTCAGTCTCCAATAATATGTACAATAGTATATATTATAATATATACAATTAGGCCTTTAATCAATTAGTCAATCAAGATAAAATGAATAATCAACTATTGTTGTTGTTTTTTCTATTTCACTGGTTTCAGCATCTGAAATGTGACTATTAGATGCTTTGGTTGATCATTTATGATAATAAACTGAATATGTTAGGATTGTGGGTTGGATAAAGCAACACATCTGGAGATAATAATGGTCAGACTTACTGATAATAAAATAATAGTTAGTGTCTTAATGAGTTGATTGTGTTTGCCTCAAAGTACAAAGGTATGCAAAAGGGATTAAGAGATTTAGAGATAAACATGATGCGATTTAGATTAAAAAAAAAAGTTCATGTACATGTTCATTAATATTTTTTTACATTTATTCTTAAAAGAAAGGTAACATTATTAAAACAATTAGCTATAGAGATAAAAAAAAAACAGTGTGTGCACCGTGGGAAGGTTGCGGGAGTAATGTAATAACTTACTACTTGGCTGAATGTCTAAAGAAACTACTCCAACCTTTGCATGGCTTATCACTGAATTGTGATAATGGCAGAGATTTGCAGACTATTTCTTTTAACCCTTAACCCTTTTTTTCTGACTCACACACATTGAACTTCATATCCTTCATTTTGTCAAACACAGCACAATGAGTCATAGCATCAAACAGCACCACGTAAAATAATGTGCTCTCCTCCAGCACAAAGCCATTGATCACGAACTGAACTGACAGTAGTATTGATTTAAATTCCTAAGATGAATAGTCAGAGATAGTCGTCATCACCAGCAACGTCACATCAAAACAGTATGAAATCTCTCCTGTAGAGCCTCTAAGAGTCTTTGATGTCTGCAGCAGAACAAGCAATAACTGTGAACATGAATGACTCTTTCCTTGAACCACAGAGAAATTTAATCCTGCTATGTCATCCTGAATGAGGTGCCTAAAAGACAGTAGAGAATAGTGCTGGGTGATGTACCGGATGAACCAGCATACCGGTTTTAATTTCCTGTATGGTATTAAATTGTCATATATTGCCATGCCAGTGTGTAGCTGAAACAACTGCAGTTTATAGTGTTTATACAGGGTCAAAACCTTATAATAGAAACATTACAAAAAAACACTACAGTAATCAAATGTTTGTACATTCTATGTACACCTGACGGTAGAATAAGCAACTATAAACCTATATAAAAAGGTCCTGTCAAGCAAAAAAACGAATTGTGTTATATATACCGTGAAACTGTCAGAATCGTAAAAAAAATACCGCAAACAAAATTTTTTAGATGTTATTACCTAATGATACAGTTTTGGTACATGTGCTGCATTCCAGTTAAAGTCAGATTTTTGGAAATTCCCTGCTGCTTGCCCATAATTACAACCTTCCTGTGTTCCAGTGGCCCGGCTTGGAAAAATCAGGCAAGAAAACATAGTCACCCACTAAATTTAAATACACTTTCCCCCCATGTTACAGCTGGCATCACATAATTTACAGTACATATGACACTGTTTACTATCTGTGAGTGCAAACGTTTTCATTTGGAATTTACGGTCGTGTGATTATGACATTCAAACTTTCAAGTTCCATTGAATGCTGCCAGCTAATGTGCTGAGAGACAGCAGCATCCTGGAAACCTCTTGTTTTGAAATAACAAATGTGTCTCCAACATGGAATTCCACCTTAAATAACTTGAACATTTCCCCCCCAATCAGCCCTTCTTTTAATGCGTGAAAGGACCTACAGGGACAAAAGTTAGAACCGCTTTGGTTGTTTCACAGGTGATTTTTTTCACTCTCTGTGTTATTCTCACTGGTTTAATGTGGGCCGAACTACGTGAGGTCACAGACTTCCATGCACCAATCAGGATTTACCAACATTTCAATCATAATCTGATGACAGTTGATGGTATGTTTGGTCACTGTCAATCAAATCTGATCAAACCACATAGTCTATAATAAATAGTATGAGATGAGTGGGGTCGCTCATACAGTAGTGATGAAGCTACAGATAATTAGCTCCCCTCTCGGCTGTGTGGAGCTTTAAAGAGAGTTTCAGCTCATTGTTTAGCTGTCTGTGTTCGCTCTCACTGCCTTCGTAGTGTCATTTTTAGCCGTTTTCGGTGAACAAGCTCTACAAACCCACTATACACTACCGACAGACTCATTTAGCATCTAGCTGGTGAACATAGAGGAGCATTTAGCTGCTAAAGATATTTCCCTCAGGAGCTTTTAGAGTTCAACCACAGAGCTAAAAGTGAGTGAATATTGGACTTACTTTCATCAGGTGGACACAAACACAACTCCAAATTAAAAATGTGACAAGTAGCCAAAAAAAAATGCTGCTATTGCAGTTTAAGATGTGAAGTTTTCAGTGGCTTTAAATCATATATATTTTGACTTTTTTTATAGCTCTCTAAAATGCAGCATATGAGCTATGTGGCTTTGTGGGAGTTTTGACTATAATTTCAAGGAGCAATCAAACACTTGTCTTTCAAGGAATCCACTACCGTTTGTCCCAGCTCTAAATATGGATACTTGCACATTATATAAGATCAATATGGAAGGAAATCTACCTCCTCTGCCTATATGTCTCTGAGAAGACAGGTATATCAGTCACAGTGACAGCAAAAGCACCATCTCAGCAAATGCTTCCAGTCATCCATTCATGAACACCTTACACCAGAAAAAAAGTGCAGTACTGTACACGCCACCAGCAGCCAATGAACATGAAGAGTCTCAGGGACTTTGCCCAACCTTATCTCCCCGGGTCCTGTACATTCACCTTCATCATTCAACCTCATAAACCTGTTAAAACTACTGAGCTGTAAGAACAACCATGTGGCACTATAAAAAGCAACAGTCCATCTTAAAGATATTGACTATAACACTAAATATCAAATAAGACTTAATCACGGCCATATGGACCGTGGTAAAAATCACATAATTACATAAATGACCACGTAGTAAAGTTTAAGTGCCTCTTTTAGACAATCTGTGCAGTTGGGTGTTAAAGAGAGTATTAAAACAAAGAGCTCTTCCTTCATTGATTCATGCATATTTCTATTTTTGGGGAGAATATAAGCGGAAACACACGCTGTGAGGACTTCCCATTTCCGAACTGGCTGCCTGTGCCCAGCAAACCTTTGATCAGGTGTGTGGGTGTGTGTGGGTGTGTGTGTCAAGGAAAACTAGATGCTTGCTCAGCAGTTATGAGAAGAAATGAGTGAAGAAACCGACTCAAGAAATTGCTGATACAGACCTTAGACAGACATGACACCAAGACTGAAAACAATCAGCATGTTCAGAGGGCCTCAGACCAAATGTCACAGATACATTTGAATAGTGGAGAGCTTTTTTCATTTTCTTTAAAACACCAGAAAAACCAGAGAATTAATAGTTTTGTGCCCCTTAAAATAACACTTTGGCCCTAAGTTCTGTTTGATTCGCCTTGATTAGAGAAGCTCAACTGGATTTCTCCTTTAATACAACAGGCTATTCAGTTAGACAACTGCTTTAATCTATTATGTGTGCCACTTGCATGTGTCATACTTCCAGCTTTTGTGAATTAACGCTCGTACTCACCACGTCACATTCCGAGTCAGCAGGAAAGCAGCAGGTCACAGTGTGTTTGGAAACCCCGGTGGTGATTGCGACACAAGAAGACACATGAAAATGAAACAAACCCCATTACTGAGCGGACACACTGCTGTGACAAAATTCTGGAAATGACCTTATTCGTTATGTTAATGCCAAAAAAAATAAATAATAATCACATCAGTCAACAAAAACTCAGTTAATTCACAGTGCAGCAAGCAGTACAATGTGCAGTGAAGTTCTGTAGGCGCTCAACACCGCACAGACTCACTGACAGACACACAACTTTACCTGACTCCTGTGTGAAGAAACAAAACTCCCTGAACACCACTGTGTGTGTGTGTGTGTGTGTGTGTGTGTGTTGTGGGAGTCCAGCAATCCCGACGTGGGGCTCGTCCGGTTGGGAAGGTGCAGACACCTGTAAGCGCCTGCTTTGGCAAACCTTCCCAGAAACGGTCCCGAGCTGGAAACCCCGCCCCTCCTGTCTTAAAACGGCCCCCATAGTACTCCTAAACGGGCACGCCCACGATGACGACTCAACCAGCAAAGCCCCAGTGCCACCTGGTGGTAGCAGGCAGGATGAGGGGTATGTCTGATGGGTGGTGATCTCTTGTCTCGCATGACCACTAGATGGCCTGATTAGGCTGAGCTACATTACATGCTTTATGATAAGTCTGCAAAGATTACTGAACTTGTAATAACAATATTCTGTATTCTTTGCAGTAATAGAAAAACAAAAAACCTATTAAAGTATTATAAGCAAAATAAAAGTAAAAAGTACTCCAATAAAGTTATATTTTTATACAGTATATTATTAGATTATTTTTTACTGATGTATAAGCAGCATTCTGACTTTTCCAGTTGGTCGAGGTGGAGCTAGTTTGGAGTATTTTATCCTGTATTGGGCACTTTAAAGGACCAGTGTGTAGAATTTAGTGGCATCTAGCAGTGAAGTTGCAGATTGCATCTTTATATGACGATCTAGGAATGAGAATGGGCTGTGAAATGTGTTGGAGAAACTATGGTGGCCAAGAAAGGCCCTTTCTAGAGCCAGTGTTTGGTTTGTCCATTCTGGGCTACTGTAGAAACATGCCGGTTCAACATGGCGGACTACATGGACAGCAACCCTGTGGCATCTCAAGATAAAATGGCTCATTCTAAGGTAAAAAAAACACAACTATTCCCATATTCAGGTGATTATAAACAAATGAAAACATACCTATAAATATTATATTCCATTTCTGCCAATAGATCCTTCTAAATGTTACATACTGGACCTTTAAATCTGTAACACTTCTTATTATCATAACGCTCAGTTGCCAGTTTATTAGGTAGGTCTTGGTAAAACTAAAACAGTCTAATACAACATTCCTGCAATAAATCCCCCCTTCATGAAGGTTATAATGTTCAGCTTTTGTTTTAAAGAGGTGTTGTTTGCAGGACTGTTGTATTGGACTACTATTATTTTTGCTTAGACTACATAATTATGTGTATTTGGATGTAAAACATTAACTAGTAAGTAACTAGTCATTAAAACTGTCAAATAAATGTAGAGAAGTAATAACTGCAATATTTCCTCTGAAACGTAGTGGGTAGACGTATGAAATTGCATAAAATGGGAGTACTTAGGACAAGTACAGCCCCTTAAGTGAGTACACTGACTAAATGTACCTTTCCACCACTCAAAACTATGTGCAAAGCATTTGCATAACAATATTCACAAATGTGGTGTCATATGCAGAAGCAATACAAACAGGTGACAAATTAAAGGAAAAACATGAATAAATGAGTGCAGAAACAATAACCTGCGTTGACACTGCAGGCCAAAGTGACACAAACCTGATTCTTTTTGCCCATATGTGACTCAGATCCAATTCTTTTCTTTACAGTGTGAACAGCACAAATCACTGGGAGTCATATGTGGTCCAAATCAGATACAGGTTGGATTTTTTGCAGTATGACATCAGTGTGAACAGTCATATCAGAATGCACGTGACTTTTTTTTTTTCTAGGTCACTATTGATTTACATTTTTTATGCAGGTGACTTCAGGATCATGACATATTCACACTAGAATCTGCCACAGGCCACTTTTAGAACAAATAAATAATAAAAAATCAGATCCGTGCAATAAATCAGAAAGGCTCGCAGTGTGAACGTAACCAGAGTGTAAAAATAATGTGAATCATGTTATTTCCTCTACAGTCACCAAATCTCAACCCAATTCAACACCTGGGGGAGATTTTGGAGCGACATGTCTGACAGCATTCTCCACCACCATCACCAAAACACCAAATGAGGGAAAAATGATATTCTAAGTTTTTTAAGTTCCAGAGAATCTAGGAAAAAGCGCATTGCAGTTGTTCTAGTGCCTCATGTTGGTCAAACACCAGACTAAGACGCTTACAGTCTTTTGATTTTTCCTGTAATTTATCACTAATCTGAATCTTTCCCTTTTAATTTCCCTTTTTTACTAGTGAAGCCAATTAGTAAAAAGACTGCTGTAAAGGTTACTGGTCTCAGTTCAGTTAGCACAGATAATGTAACATCAATACCGCTGCAGTCTCTGCCAGTAATGAGAAGTGCTTCTAAAGTGCAGCAAAGCAAAATCTATATCATCTGTAGGTTTGCCACAAACTTAATCAATCATAGTCCGACAGTTTTTCATCTTTTTAATTTCATTTTTCTGATGCTGTTTAAACTGCATTTAATCTAATATCACACAAGGAAGCCTATTAGACCCGACAGGAGGTGTTACAGTCAAGTTTATTCAACCATGAATGTCTCATATAAACAAGTGTGCACAGAGGAAGACCTTGTCCGCAAGGTCCCGATCCTAAACCAAACGTCTACCTGAGATTAAATTCAGTTCACCTTTTCACGTGGTATTCACAAAACGATGTAGAGAAACAATTCTAGACTATTTAGTTTTCTGTGGCATATGTTAATGCTACAGTACAACATGTCAGACAGTAGTTCTCAGTGACAGTTTTGGCAATTCTACAAGCTACAATGTTTGCCCTAAAACAGGAAAAAAAAAAGTTCAAACTCATCAGATCAGATTTTCTTTTTGTTTTTTGTTTTTGTTTTTTACAAATCTTTACTAAATCTTCTTACAAGTCTTTAGTATTGCTCTTGCTACATTGAAAAAATAGAAAAATTACATCTGAATATTGAGCTGTGGATGTGGTATTTATAAAGAGCCTTGCTCTTGAGTGTTCATGGCTATGTTTCAATAGTCCTTAGCTGCTTACTCTCCACGTTTCCTTTCCTCTGTAATGGCCAGCTTCACATCAGCGATCAGAGAAGAAGGTACGAAGTAAAGAACAAGACATCAAAGAGTTTTTTAGAGGCTCATCAGCAAAAAATATTAGTCTAGGATTCTGCAGAGGTGCTGGGTGTCACCAAATTGTCCTCTCCCTGAGCTCCTTCCTCTGCCGCCGCCACTGCTGCTGCTGCCACCGCCGCCGCGTTTGTTGCTACTTCCTGTTCAGTGGCCACTAAAGAAATGTCTGTGTCAGGGGCCTCGAAGGACTCGCCCCCCAGGTCAGTCAGTTTGATGTAGCCCTTACTGTTGGATCGCTCCAGTCGAGGGCAGCTGAAGCGCCTGGCTCTGTCGCCTTGACGACACACAGACACAGACAGGCTGCAGCGGCGTGCAGACCTGGGCTGATCCGTGAGGGAGTTGAGCGACAGACGTGACCCCATCGCCCTGGCAACAGGTGATGGAGGAAACAGCTGGGTCCACTGCGGTTGAGGCTGCGACGCACCCTGTTGGTCAGCTGTGACTGTGGTTATTTCCTCATGGCTCTGACGGGGCGGAGGAGAATCAGTCGTCAAGGCGTCCTTCTCCTTGGCGTCCGTCTGGCCGCTGCTGGCTTGTCCTTCCTCGCTAATGGTTTCGGCAACAGCCTCAATAACAACCCCTTCCTCCGAGTGTCCCTCTGCCTCCGCTTTCGCAGACTCCTCCACCTCACAGTTATTCAGTTTGATCACAGGGAGGGTGAAAGCGTTCACAGAGGAGGTGACGATGGAGGTGGTCTCCCACTGTCGGGGCTGTGGGGCCTGCTCGCTGCTATTGCTGTAGTCTTTGTAGATGCTGTAGACAGTGTCTGTGAAGGTCTGGACGTCTCTGGACCAGCTATGAGGCCTGCTGGCCAATGACGGACGTCTGAACACCTCATCGCCGCCTAACTCACCCTGGAAACCGAGTCCAGTGGAGGGCCAGGAGCTACGAGTAAGCATCCCACTTGCAGGGAACGAGCCTGATGGGCCCTCGGCATTCCTCGACTGAGTGTAGTTCACCAAACCGTTTAGGGGTGAGTACTCCTTGGACCGTATGCTGTGTAGATCTATAACCGTGGAGTAGATATCCCTAAGGTTGATGATTTTGGTTTTCTTGTCTCGGTTTTCATGGAGGACTGCATTGGCGCAGATAAAGAGGAAAATGCCGATTCCCATAACCAGCGGTCCGAAGACTTTCAGATTGTCTGAGTACAGGTAATTATCCAGGAAGTCACACAGGAAGCCACAGTGACGGGAAGGGTCGGCGGTGCTGCTGTTAGAATGGCTCTGGTTGAATACATTTGTCTGGCCGGAGGGAGGCTTCTCACGGGTCAAGTTAGAGGAAACAGCTGGACTTTTCGAGTAGCTCATCCTGTTGGTGTGGTATACTCCAGTTCTGCGGCGCTCCTGGTACTCGTGCTGGTTCTGGCTGGGCCAGTAGCCCAGTACAGCCATGGAAATCCCCACCATGAGAACTATAACTCCAAAACCAGCCACCATGCCGGCCGGGGAGCACAGATTGAGCTTCCCTTTCACCACCACCACGTCGTTCTTCTTCTTCTTCTTGGATTTCCGCTTCCTTTTGTTTTCTGCCCGGTTTTTGGAGCGCAGGGAATCCTGGCGCCTGTTCATGCGCAGCAAGCCACCTGTAGCTATCATGGTGGCTATTGGACAGCAGGCTTGTCACTCAACCTGGCAGGACACACAAAATACAAAATAGAGAATGTTAGTTTTATGATAAGTATGACAAACAGCACGTTTAGACATTTAGAAAACAGCCACAGAGTAAATATGTTCATTTCACTGAGAGAACACACATGCAATTTCAGCATGCATACAAAGCTGGATTATCGACTATCTCTTAGAGACCACAAAGGTGCCAGGTTCACTCTGTCACAACAGTCAGTAACGTATTTGTTTGGTAATAAACACCACAAAAACACAATATAAACTGAATTGCCCTCAAGGTCTGAAAATCTACTCTTGATTCCTTTAACAGTCATGCAATCTGTTTTCTTCCAGTCAGTATCTAACTGTGAGAACAGTTTTGGTTATTTCACATGATAAATCATCAGACATGATGTCACCTACTTCAGAATTTAGAAACATTTGGATCAAAATCTGCCGACAGTTAGTGGGTTGTTTGTCAATCAAATCTGATGAAACAACACCCACGCAGACCTGATGAAGCAGTTTAGCTGAGTATTAATAATAACACCACAGAGAAATAATTATGATTTGAAGCCAAGTATTCAGGGGCTTTAATATTCCAGCGTATGAATACTGGTTGGTTTCTGTGGGGGGGTTGTTGGAAGAAAAGGGACCCACAGCCCATTTTTAACCCGGGATCCATGAGCTGGTTAATCCGGCCCTGTATTCAAGCTTATATACAATATTTGTCATCAGATGGTCACTAAACCAACAGATAACATCAATCTGCTGCTGCTGGATCTATAAATACAATGATACAAGCCAAACAGAGACAAATACCAAAGTTGACAGCGGAGAACAAGGAGTGCTATTTATCTATATTCAGCTGTGCCGGTGCGATATCAGCCTATGAAAATGTAATGTGTCCAGACAGGAGGCCAGCAGGCATGTTCTCTCCACCATGCTCTCGCCTCCTTACTCTCTTTCTCTCTCTCTCTCTCTGCCTCCCCTCTCTCCCACCAATCTCTCCTACCAAACACTCTCCCTCCTGCTTTCCACCCAAATCCATTTCACCATCAACCGGCGCAGCTGTGCTTCAAGATGACAGCATCCGTCCATCACGCACGCAGCACATCACCAAGGCAAATATGAGCCATTTGCTTACACACCAACACTGTCTCTGCCACATAAGATGTTTACATTTGGTTTTTTTTTCTTTGTTTATGCAGCACAACAGCAGAAGCTGCGGTCCAAAGGGCAACGAAGCCACCAACACTTACCATGATTACAGACATCTGCTGATGAGTTTCAGCCACATGTGGTGAATAATAATCGCAGGATAAGGTTGATTACTTAGACAGACTCAAGCATTCCCTCCTTGATTGTGCTGGTAGCTAGATATTTAATTAGACTAATCATGCCTAATTGTGTATGACTTAGGGCTTAGGTTCATGAATAACTTATTCCACAAATTCCTTTCAGAGCAGCAGTTAATAAGACGCTCTCAAAAGGTTGTTCTGGGTGTTGCTCTCACAGCCTTAACAGTCAAAATAATGATGATGGAGGCCCTGGAAATCCCTTTATGGTCCAAGTTATTACAGGCAGTTCCCACGGAAAGTAGAACACGGAGCTCCGCACCTGAGCCTGGGCAAACAACACACCGGTACTCAGCTGCTGATTATAGCGACTTTCTCACTATATCACATCCAACAACCACTCAAATGCCTCCCGGCCGAGAGCAAGTCGACCTGCACTAAAGCTGATAAAGCGTAGGCGGCGGACCTCTCTATGTTTGGAAAGAGAAGGGCAGCGGTAACGTGGACCAGAAGTGGGTGTGGACGAGTCGGATTGTTTCTCTGTCTGCGGTGCTGAACAGGAAGTTGCCAACTCCTCGGTTTTGTCTCCCAAAAAAAAAAAAAAAAAAAATCTAACCAACCCGTCTGGCAGGAGGAAGAGGAGGCCAGCGGGTGGAAGGCTCAGTCCGGTCCAAGGTGCGGGGGCGCATATTTTCGCGCAATGTTGCATGAGTAATCGATTGTTGACATTACAGCGCATCTGTTTCCCTTCTGCTGGAAAAAAGCCCGTGAAGGCAAATATGAGCTGCCGTGGAGTTGGAGGTGCCCTGAAAATATCCAGAGCCCCGGCGACGCATCTCGCTCCAACACAAAGCCTAAAACAGTATTCTCTGAGCTCACAAGGTGCAGACAGATGACAAACATCCACACCTCTTCCACGGCCTGACGAAGCCCATGCTTTCATAACTAATACTAACAACTCAGAGCTGTGTGGTAACCATTATACCTTTATGTAAACGCGTGATGCCAGTCTCTGATTTGTCTCACCAACTTATTAGAAATCGGTATTTGATGGCAACATCACAGCCAGTAATAATAATAAAAAGAAAGTTGGATAAATAGATCCCCCCCTTTAAAATACTGATTTTCTCTACCCGTTTTTCTTTATGTCTCTCGCATATTTGACAGATCATGTGCCAGATATATAGAGCAAACCAAAACATCTCTATCCAGTTGCAACAAAATCACCATTTTAATCTCACGGATAAAAGTAAACGGGCTTGCGCATTGCTTCAAGTCCAACGCCTTCCTGACATCAAAACTCTTGTCCGTCGATTTATTATTCAGGATCAAAAAAACACTCCCTAACTAAACCTATCTGTCACACAATTAAAAGACTTCCTAAACCCTGCTCTGCCTCAATACAGCCTGTAAGGAGTCATTGTGGAATCAGACGCGACAATCAAACACAAAAGAGGCAGAGGCTGGTGGGAAAGGCGCAGGAGGGGAACTGGTGGTGATTAAAATAAAATTCAATCATAAAAACAGCGAGTCCCTTACCAGAAATTGTGGCTTGACAATCAAGCATCTTCAAAGGCGCACTCCTCGTTCAGCTGTGCATGTCGTGGTGCGCCACTTTGGTGCCAAGGCTGGAAGAGTGGTTTCCAGTTGAACGCAGATTCACAATAGACCGGCAGGGGCGGGCCAACTGCATTTCCATTGGTGGTGATTATTGGGCAACGTGAAAAACGAGGGCTGTTCAGGACGTTTATCAGACTCTATGTTATACTCCAAACGTTTCCATATGTGTGTTTTTTTTCAGATCTTACAAGGACACAAATACCAGTAAGCTGCGGAATTAGACTATTATACAGTGCCAGTTGCATTTTGCCACTCTCTATGTTTTTTTGCACACAGGTCTGGGGGTTCTTATGCCAGCAATAACAAAATGCATGCACAGGCTTTTTTTCTGCGTCCTGTGATAAATGCAATGCAGGAATAAACTACTGTGTTTATGGGATTTAAATTGCTCATATGGCGTAGGTGAGGTCAGAGAAAGGGAAATTTAAATACACCAAATCCATCATCTCTTACATCATGTGGCTTCCTCCCCCTACCTTTCCCCCTTGGGTTATTGCTATAATTGCCTGGATGCAGTGTCCCCGTGTTTAACTAAATGGAATATGACAGAGTCCAGATGTGTTTCAGTTATGTGAGACTGGAGAGAGGCAGCAGCTATACACTGGACAGAGGGGAACATGAAGAACTATGCTTTAGCACTGATGCTCCAGAGGACTGAATGCAAATTTATGACCCAGAAATGTGTTTTGTTTATGGCATAAATTAGTGGAAGGAACAGAGGAAACGCCAGTGTGAATGCCGCAGTTAGACTCAAAGTATCCACGGACATAGGAAATAATCCAGGGGTTTTAAAGAGCTGTCTTTAATCCTTGGTCTTAACCGGAGCTGTGTACTGCAGGTCTGGAGGTCTGCAGCAGCTTTCAGTATAGCTCTAAGCTTGTACAATATAGGAAGATACAGTGACACACAACAGATGTTTCTGAGCTTCTGACAGGGGCTTATAACGTCTTAAAACTCTGTTACTGTGAACAAATGCAACAAAATATGTTGTTCCAAAATATCAAAGAGAGAAAGGTAACAGCTTCTACAATTTCTAACTTATTTCTACAAAAATAAATATCATATAGCGTACTGCACACCTGACTGAATACAGGCCTAGTGGTCAGAGAGCTGCACAGGTGGAAGCCTCACCAACCCGTCCGAGTGTCCTTGGATACCCTTATCTCATTTTAAGCAGCCGTGGATAAACAGCTTGGTGCCAAAAATGTACTGCATAGATTTTTTTTTTAAAATTTGGAAATAAACTTCTCAATTTTAGCTGCAGAATGCAACCAAAACCACAGCAGTCAACACACTTACTCCCATCATCCACACATCAATTTCTCAGCAGAGTATCTGATATTCAAGAGATTTCTTTCCTTCAACAACTCTTGAATCCAATCACTAATTAGTTTGAGAACACACTCCCAGATTAATAACAAGTTTTATGACATATTTTCTATCTCCTCTGTATTTCAGTCTGATTCCACTTTGCCACCCAGAAAACTAGGTCTGGGATTCACTGTGAGCCCCCCCAAATGGATCTTTGTGGATGATGTGCTCTGTGCGAAAGACTTGTCTGCACCTGTTCTGCTTAATTAATTCAATATAGTAGAGAGGATGAAAAAACTTCAGTTCATTAGTCTTTACACAATGTAGAGCTGTTGAGAAATACTCAGGTTATTGGCTATCTCATTGTTATGGAAAGTATAGTTTCCATGACCTACAGGTGAAAGACTACCAGATTTCAGACTTTTGCAGAAGCTGCAAAAAAATTACATTATTTCTGCAGACTTTCCAACTTGCCTTAATGACTTTACTTTCACATAGGCCTACTTAATCATTCCTTATCAAGACACCCCCAGGTAATTAAACTCACCTAGAGCATGGTGATGAAGCGGGTATTCTCTGTCATAGAAAGCGAAAGAAAGGGGATGTGAAAAAGAGAAAAGGGGGATATGAAAGACAGAGGAAGAGTGACTGGAGAGATACTGAGTGTTCGTTATGTCACACTCTCCTAATACTGGGTCTTTCATCCTTGGGAGGGGCATTCCCATCCACACTGCAGCAGTAATTCAATAATTCAATTTATTCCTCAGTGATCATATCATGTCTGTCACGGTTATTTAAGACACCACTTTCCTGTCCTGTCTGCCGTGAATGATGTGTCTCCTATACACGGTTTTATTCAAGCCATATGAGACTTTCACCTATACCATTTTCTGATGCTTATCAAAAAAATAGATCGTCCCTGACACATCCAGGCATCCCAGGAGACGGTGCGCCACGGTAGGGCTCAGATATACTGTAGTGTCAAAAATAGTTCCAGTGGATCTCCTCCTGAAATCTAACCGGCTTTGTTACTGTTCTGTATCTGCACAGCCAGAGCACAGAGGACATTCAAGTAATTTTACTTTAGCTTCCTTTACTTGTCAGACACTCTTTCGATGTACAATGTGCTGGTTAACAGCTAAGAGATATATCTGAAGCAGCATCAGGAGCTGCAGGGGGTTCATTTCATTTCTAAAGCCTGGGCTGTACTGGCTAATTGGGAATGTGGAAACTTCGAATATGGGCTCAGCGAGAGATCAAGTCCCTCCAGGAGACGTTGTCATCATTACCGCCTTAGCTGCTGCAGGAGTCAGAGGGCTTTGCAGTCATAGAGATAAAAGCAGCACTCTCAGGCCTTAGAAATGAAGACACAGTAGCTTTTTTTTTTTTTTAATTTGAAGGAGATGATGGGCCATCAATTAAGCCGAAAACAACTACTCTGGTCTGAGTTGTTGTTGTTGTGGAGTGAAGAATCTGCCTGCAATCAGTGCATTAAGGCTAAGGCTGACATTAGTCTATCTGTCTGTGTTCCACTGGTCCCTATTGAAGCCGTAAACCTTTAAAAATAGGACATGGATATAAAGTTTCATTTAATGAAGGCAGAGTAATTGTCTAACACAGCTGGGAACTGTAGTTTTTAGCAAACAATACTCAATCAATAATAAATCATATATTTGTAAGGGACTATTTTCAGCTGCGGAGTGATATACATTTGGTGCTCTAGTGAGTATTTATGGCAGCAGAATGGTGTGTGGGATTATTAAAAAAAAACTACAGTGCCCATGTTCATCGTAAGAAGCATGTCACCCACTGCAACAGTGTGGCATATTGATGTGTTTTTAATGGTTTTTGTACAATAATGAAGCTCCACAGCACAGATAAATAAGATATGTGAGGCTTTAGACATTTGTCAGTGTCAATTTACAGTGGGTTTTAGTCTTTTAATGGGATTTGTTGAGATAAATAAAATCACCACTCAAGTATACCACCCATTTTTTTTTTTTACACCTGATATATTTTATAACCTGAATTATTAGAACTCCATGAATAATTGTACCATCAAACTCCAACATCCTTATGTATAAATCACAACAGATGCCATCAGTGCACAAAATAGGGTCAAGAAGAAATAATAGTGAATAAAGTATTCATCTTCACTATACCAAAATGCAATTATTAATAGTTGAATGCACTCAAATCAGTCTGTTGACTAAACTATGTTCATTATCTTGCACAATGGAAGTTCAAACAGTGGATCGAAGGACCTCCTCATAAATCTTCCAATCGTAACCATCATTGCGCCATTGTCTGCTCAGGTTCTGTAGGGAGAAGACCTTCCTTTGATAAATGACCATTAGGGTCCATCTGCAGCTTCTGGTTGTGGCTAATGAGATGCGTGATAGTGTTTGCGACTGATACAGGTCATGGAGACATATGGGTATTTCTGGTCCATTTCTATGTTGGGCAGCCATGCGTCTCTGACAACTGGAAATGGAACGAGACACCCAGTTGTAGCAGGCACAGCGACCAGTAGTTGGGTTACTGAGGAGACAGGATCAGGAGAGCATGGACGGATGGGAGGGTGGGAGTGGAGAGCAGCAGGTGAACACTTGCTCCCAGCAGGTAGCCAGTTCCCACTAGTGACCTC